AATCACCCTAGATAAATTACTGATACCACTCGGCTCCAACTAATAACTGTGACGTTTTTGTTGTTAGCAAATTGTCGGAGAATCAGTTAAAGGACTTGCCTCCCGAAGTTTTCTCAAACAACACTAAGCTGAAGTCGCTGTAAGTTGAACTCAGTATCAATCCTATTCTTAACAAACACAGCTGGAGAGAAATTAGGTTGCTCGCAATACTGTTGAATACAAACGTTCAACAGCAAGCAACACATTCGTCAACACCCTTAGGAAAGCTCTTTAAGAGCAATTCTCCAGGAAAGTGAAGCAAAGTTGGAAATGAAAAATTTTAACCCCCCTTCAATTTTTGTGTGGAGGTAGGCTACCTTGGGGGATAAACAAAAACAACCATATTTGGATCGGCAGATGTAATCGTTGCCATGATAACCGCACTAGATGACGTCGGCCTCAGGACCATGTTTTGAGCAAAAGTTCCACTCTCAAAAAGTAAAAGTAAACGAGTCTGGTTCTCGGGTGCATGTGAACCAATTCAAATATAGCAGACGCGAATTTGAATAATTATATATTCTGTTATTTTCGTTTTGAAATCTGGTCTTTTCATCGGGTATTCCCTGTTAAGCTTATTTAATCCCCCATTAAGAAATTTTTCATTTTTTCTACGTTGTACTTGGAATTTCTCAGATAACCTTTCGTTTTCAAGATTTCAGTGAAGGGATCTCGATCATTTGACGTGGGATTGAAAACAAGGCAGATAATACTTGCCTGAAAATCTCAGACCAGGTAATTTAGGTGTAAGATGCACACAACAACCAAACTGATATCAGATGCTACTCATCCCAGTCTTTGCGGAAGATCAGAGCTGGCAGCTGGCAATCCCACGTCAAATGATCGAGATCCCTTCACTGAAATCTTGAAAACGAAAGGTAATCTGAGAAATTCCAGGTAAAACGTAGAAACAATGAAAAATTTCTTAATGGCGGATTAAATAGTCTTAACAGAGAATACCCGATGAAAAGACCAGATTTCAAAACGAAAAGAACAGAATATATAATTATTCAAATTCGCGTCTGCTATGTTGTGCTTTCCTGTCATACCCTACTATTTAAAACGGAGCACGACAATGGTGAAAAACATTGTATGCACCGCAAAAACCTGGCACAACGAGAGAAAGAGTGCGGAGCAGCAGCAGCAAAACTAACAAGAAGTTTACAGAAATCTGAACTGCGTTGTTTTGGTTTTGTTGAGTTTGCTTTTGTTTGCTTCGCCCATAGCCATTCTTAAGTTACAGGAACCACATATGTGCATTGCAGATATTTAACTTTGCTTCAGATTTCTGTAACTAATTATAAAAACTTAACTCGCTTCAATGGCACAAGAACAGAAAGCCATTTCGTATTAAATAGAGAGAAATATTCAAGAAACTTCAGTTACATCTATTAAGGCTGTTCTTAACCCAAGACTACAAAATTGGCTGGGAATCGGCTCAATGTTGAACCTTCAGTAAAGCTTTATTCAGCTACTGACTCTGGAACGCTAATGCACCAGCTTACAACAAACGTGATTTAGCAGATGTCAATAGCTACTGGCACCTTATCAACGACTTTTTCTTGACTTAAATAAAACCGACCGAGAGACCACAAAGAAACTGGGAAACAATGAAAACTTACAGCAACGGCCTGAAACGCTTTTATCTAGACTCTGAAGTTGACACCTTCCTTGGTTTTTTGAGAAACATAATTCACCAACAACAGTTCTTTTGAGAACTACCCTCACCTGATCAATCACCCTAGATAAATTACTGATACCCCTCGGTTCAAACTACTTACTGTGATGTTTTTCTTGTTAGGGAGTTGCAAGAGAATCAGTTAGAGGACTTGCCTCCCGGAGTTTTCTCAAACAACACTGAGCTGTTAGCCGTGTAAGTTGAACTCGGTATCAAATCACAAATCATTCTTTAATTTTGGCGAGAAATTTCAGTCTTAATTTATAATTACACATGTGAAATTACAAAACTACCATGGCAACGTTTCGCGGGAAATTTCTCAATACAATAAATTAGTCAAAACCCCACAATTGTAAGCGTAATTTGTCACTGATGATATTAAAAGGTAATCATATGGTATACTCGTGAAATTAAGAAATAATTTCACTTGCGTTGTGTCAATATTCTAATAATTTCCTAATTTCACTTGTCATCCTATCAGTACCCATACTAACATACACAGCCGGAGATAAACTATTCACATGATAGGGTTGATCCCAATGCTGTCGAATACAAATGTACAACAGCACCGCGCAGCATTTTCCTAAAATTCAAAAAATGGTAATTCATGTATATCATGCATACGATATCCATATCGATATTAAGGACGGTGGCTACTTTTGCCAGTGGATACATGCTCTACCCAACACGCAAGGCATGGTTTACACGTCACGACACGCGCGCTAGAGTTGAAATTGACGTATTCAATTACGTTACTAAGTGCGTGACTAAAATAAAAACAAAATTTTTCTAAAATGACCAAATCAAGTTTAATGAACCTGTACTGAAAACAAGAACACCAGAATAGCAGCTTATCGTTGACCACTAACTGTTAACGGCTTTCAGCTAGAACACTAGTTGTTATCCGTAGAAAATTATACTGAAATCCGGGTGTAAACGTGTACCTGTAGATGGCATAGTGCGTGCAAAGAAATTGCAAGAGATGCAATTATTTAACTTACTAGGGAGGTGACAGGAACTATGGTAACGAGTATCAAAAAAGACAACAAAACAACTCGTGTAACTTTCAAAAACGTGCAGTCATCCATACTCAGTTTTTATCTAATGATATGCAAGTGGCACCAATTGGTTTTTGGTTGTGTGCATTCTTCTCCTGTTGTTTACTTGGTCGAATTGGCGGCAACAATATCATAAGGAATGATACCGACAGAAAATAATAACTAGTAATAGTTATCACTAAATCTGCCCCCGCTGAGATAAACTAAGAATTAAGCCAGGATC